GTAACTAATTCCTATAAATACGTCTACTCCTATAATTTAGGGATCTTTCTATCTAAGTCCTGATTTTTCTACAAGTCTACCTCAACTTCAGAAGTCAATTCCAGCGCTGAAGTCTCATCCTTTGTTAATCCACATGTCGGATCAGAAAGTTCCTCAATTCTTATCACAGAGCACAAACTAAATGGGAACAATTACCGGCAATGGTCCCAATCAGTGATGATGTTCATCTGTGGTAAAGGCAAAGATGAATACCTAACCGGTGAGATTACAATTCCAGACAAGAGGGATCCGAAGTACAGAACATGGAAGACGGAGAATCATATGATTATGTCGTGGCTAATCAATTCTATGAATAATGAAATAGGGGAAAAATTTCTCCTATAAGGAACAACAAAGGAAATATTGTGTGACCGTGAGATCCCATTGACATAGATCATGGAGTGCAGAATCATATGATTATGTCGTGGCTAATCAATTCTATGAATAATGAAATAGGGGAAAAATTTCTCCTATAAGGAACAACAAAGGAAATATGGGATGCAGTACGGGAAACCTACTCTAGTTCAGAAAATACCTCGGAGTTATTTGAGGTAGAGGCTGCACTCCATGATCTATGTCAAGGGGATCTCACGGTCACACAATACTACAATACCCTCACTCGCCATTGGCAACATCTAGATATGTTTGAAATTTATCCGTGGAAGTGTTCAGAAGATATAAAGTTGTACCGCAAGGTTGTGGAGCAAAAAAGGACCTTCAAATTCCTTCCCGGCCTCAACAAAAGCTTGGACGAGGTTAGAGGAAGAGTAATGGGTACAAAACCTCTTCCGAGCATAAGGGAGGCTTTCTCAGAGGTTCGCCGAGAGGAAAGTCAGAAGAAGTTGATGATGGGCCCTCAGAACCCTGCTCCATCTCTTGAAGAATATGCTTTGACTACTCGGAGACAGCAGTACAATGTTGCTGACAACAGGCAGAGGAAAGGAAGACCATGGTGCGATCACTGCCGCAAACCAGGCCACACTAAAGAGACTTGCTAGAAGATCCACGGCAAACCGGCTGATTGGAAGCCTTCACAATCGAATAATGATCGGGCCAACATTGCTGCCACTGTAGAAGACAAGGAAATCCGTACAAACTCCACGTAACAAGCTAAAAATAGCCCATTCACCAAAGAACAACTTGAGCTACTCTGGAAGCTATTTAGCCAGAATTCCATGACTCAGACAAACAACAATGTTCCTAGCTCCAGCATGTTAGCACATAAAGGTAATCTTTCCAATGCCTTTGCGGTTAATAAATGTCATACAAGTCCTTGGATTGTAGACTCAGGAGCCTCGGATCATATGACGGGAGATGCCACTTTATTTCACGAGTACAGTCCAAATCTCGAGAACCATACAATCCGAATAGCAAATGGTTTCCTTATCCCGGGTTAAGGGAACAGGTTCAGTTACTAAGGATTTAATCCTTCATTCGGTTCTTCACATTCCTAATTTGGACTGCAATTTACTCTCCATTAGTAAATTAACTCGTGACCTCAATTGTGTAACTAAATTCTTTCCTAACCATTGTGAATTTCAGGAATTGGATTCGGGAAGGATGATTGGCAGTGTTGAGGAGTGTTCTGGGCTCTATCTTCTCAAGGACAATATTCCATCAAGTGGTCGGTCATTTAAAAGTCAGTCCTGTTTAAAACATGTGTCAATAAAGATAATGAAGTTATGTTATGGCATTATCGTCTTGGTCATCCTAATTTTATATATCTTAGAACTTTGTTTCCATCATTATTTATCAATAAAAGTCCAAAGTTTTTTAATTGTGAAGTTTGCCAACTCTCTAAACACACTCGTAGTAACTACCCCAATTCCTCATACAAACCATCCCGCCCTTTTACTTTAATTCACAGTGATCAGTGATGTATGGGACCCTAAAGAGTAAAAATATCACGGGAACTAGATGGTTCGTATCCTTTGTTTATGATCATACTCGCTTAACATGGGTGTTTCTTATGAAAGAAAAGTCTAAAGTTGGACAAATTTTCAAAAACTTCAATTCCATGATACAGACACAGTTCCAGACCAAGATCCAAGTTCTGAAAAATGATAATGTCAAATAATATTTTGAATCAATCGTAGGCACCTATCTGTTGAGTCAAGGGATTGTTCACATCAGTTCGTGTGTTGACACCCCTCAACAAAATGGGGTTGCAAAAAGAAAAAACAAGCACCTATTAGAAGTGGCTCAATCACTCATGTTCACTACACATGTTCCTAAACATTTCTGGGGAGAAGCCATACTCACAGCCACATACCTCATCAACCGAATGCCTTCCAAAGTACTCAAATTCCAAAACTCCATGCAACGTTGTTCTTCAACATTTCCCACACACCAAATTCATCTCATCATTAGATCCTAAGATATTTGGATGTTCTGCCTTTGTCCATATACATTCTCAACACCGTGGGAAGTTAGATCCCAAATCCATCAAATGTGTCTTTCTTGGGTACTCACCACATCAAAAAGGGATATAAGTGTTACTCTCCCACAACAAAAAGGTTTTACAATTCAATGGATGTGACAGTTTTTGAACATCAATCATTTTTTACCAAACCTACAGTTCAGGGGAAAGTATGAGAGAACTTCAGCTTTGGGGTCTTGAAGAGCATCCTTCACCTTCTACTTCGGTTTATCCTTCTCAAACAGATTCCAATATCCAACCCGATCCTTCTTCACCTATTCCTTCACCTAATCTCTCTCCTGTCCAAAACAGTCCTCTTTCACCTAATCCCGCTCCTGTCCAAAACAAAGAGTTGATTGTTTACTCCAAAAGGAAGAAGCTGATCTGGATTCAATGACTACACAAATTCACTCAAGTAAGGAAAACTTGGTTCTTGAGAATACGACACCTGCTATGGATGAGTTAGATATTCCAATTGTCTTGAGGAAAGGTGTCCGAACATGTACAAATCATCCTATATGCACATTTGTCTCGTATAAAAAATTGTCACCCTCCTATTAGGCCTTTGTGTCTACTCTTGACAGTGTGCAGGTTCCCAACTCTATTCAGGAGGCACTCAAAAACTCAGAATGGAGGAAGGCAGTTAATGAGGAGATCCAAGCATTGGAGAAAAATGGGACGTGGTGTTAACAGATCTTCCCTCAGATAAGAAGATTGTTGGATGTAAGTGGATCTTCACTATCAAGCATAAAGCTGATGGGAGTATTGAGAGACTAAAAGCTCGATTAGTTGCGAAAGGGTTCACTCAATCCTACGGAGTAGATTATCAAGAAACATTTGCTCTAGTGGCTAAACTGAACACCATCAGAGTCCTTTCTCTTGCAGCAAACAAAGACTGGCCCTTGCACTAACTAGATGTCAAGAATGCATTTCTAAATGGTGATCTTGAAGATGTGTACATGGAAATACCTGCAGGACTAAAAACTACATTGAACAGCAATAAGGTATGCAAACTCAAGAAGTCTTTATACGGACTTAAACAATCTCCTCGTGCATGGTTCGATAGATTTGCAAAGTCAGTGGTGAGATATGGATATACTCAATGTCAGGCAGACCACACACTATTTGTGAAGTTTTCCCCAGAAAAGAAAATAGCAGTCGTAATTGTATATGTTGATGACATCATTCTAACTGGTGATTATGAGGAGGAATTATTGAGATTGAAAGCAGTCTTAGCCAAGGAATTTGAAATTAAGGACCTTGGCAACCTTAGATAATTTCTTGGAATGGAAGTTGCTCGATCTAAGAAAGGAATTTTTGTCTCTCAACGGAAGTATGTCCTGGATTTACTGAAGGAAACAGGAATGCTCAGGTGCAAACCTCTTGAGACACCTATGGATCCAACTAAAAAGATAGGAGCTGGAAAAGATTCTGCACCGGTTGACAAAGGAAGGTACCAAAGACTTGTAGGGCGTCTCATCTACCTCACACACACAAGGCCTGATATTGGTTTTCCAATTAGTGTGATGAGTCGGTTCATGCACAATCCCACAGAAGAGCACATGGAAGCAGTGTATAGAATTCTGAGGTATCTCAAAATGACGCCAGGGAAAGGTATACTTTACAAGACTGAAAACAGGGATATGGAAGTCTACTCAGATGCGGATTATGCAGGAGATGTAAGAGACATGAAATCAACAACTGGTTATTGTGCCTATGTCTGGAGAAATCTTGTGACATGGAGGAGCAAGAAACAACCAGTAGTTTCAAGGAGTAGTGTAGATGCTGAATTTCAAGCATTGGCCCTAGGAATCTGTGAAGGAATGTGGTTACGTAGACTACTTAGGGAGTTGGGGATAACAATCGAGAGACCAATCAAATTGTTCTATGACAATCAAGCAACTATATGCATTGCTAAGAACCCTGTCCATCATGACAGAACTAAGTATATTGAGATTGATCGTCATTTCATCTCAGAGAAAGATTGATAACTCAGTTGTACAGCTAGTCTATACTCCTACACAATCTCAAGTGGCAGACATACTAACAAAAGCTCTTCCAAGAACAAGCTTTGAAGAATTGAGTCACAAGCTGTGTTTGTTTAACATTTACAACTCAGCTTTAGGGGGAGTGTTGAATTCCCGAATCAATTAGGGAAGATTTGTTAGGATTCTTGTTATTTTGCAAATATAGAATCCGGTGATTGCAGTTTTTTTATCTTTCCTAGTTTAGTGTCTTTCCTACGTGAGATTGTTTCCTTATTTAGTTTCAATCTATGATTAGTCAAAGGTTATGCTCGTGTATATAATGTACTCTGTTTTCATCAGAAAGTATGAATGAAAGAAAATAATTCATTCTTCACCAACAGTTTCCCTATTGGTTTATGAAACAGAGCAAAACATCAAGGCAACTCTTAGGCAATTTTATGCTTTTATGCCATCTTTCTATCTAACCTGGTAGATTTTTCTTTTGCTAATTGCTTGTTGATTCTTAGCTTGTAATTGGTTTGTTAGTATTCAAAGGTTAATGAAACCTGTTTCAGGTTGCTGCAGGGCTTAATTTTACCGTGTTTCTTACAAGACAAGGCCATGTTTTTACATGCGGGATGAACACGCATGGCCAACTTGGTCATGGTGACGCGATAGATCGACGAACACCCAAAATCATTGAACTGCTCGAGGGAGCTGGCTCTGTCGTTCAGATTTCTGCTGGTCCAAGCTATGTGTTAGCTGTAACAGACAATGGAGAAGTCTATTCTTTTGGATCAGGTTCGAATTTCTGTCTTGGCCATGGAGAGCAGCAAGCTGAGTTCCAGCCACGTATAATCCAGGCATTTAGGAGAAAGGGTATTCATGTGGTTCGTGTCTCTGCTGGTGACGAGCATGTGGTGGCCCTGGATTCCAGTGGATGCGTTAGTCTACTAACTCAAGATTAATGTTGTCGTTGACTAGATGAGCTTTGCATGAATCAGAAAGACTTATGATGCCTGCTGTCGTTTCTGCAGGTATATACTTGGGGTAAAGGCTACTGTGGTGCATTAGGTCATGGAGATGAGATTGACAAGACTAAACCAGAACTCTTGAGCAGCCTTAAAAGCGACCTTGCTGTGCAGGTGTGCTTTTTATCCCTCATTCTTAGTTTTGATGAATTTTATTTTTGCATTCTGGGTTTAATTGCTAGAGGATCCAGAGTGGCTCCCTCCTTCTCTGGTATCTTAAACTACATGCATACGTTTGTTGTTCCAAAAACGATAAAGCTTGTTGACCAAGAATCAACTTTGTTCTTGCTTTTACTGCAGGTGTGTGCACGTAAGAGGAAAACTTTTGTTCTGGTTGATTCCGGTTCAGTATATGGTTTTGGTTGGATGGGTTTTGGCAGTCTTGGGTTTCCTGATAGAAGAGCATCTGATAAAGTTACGAGGCCTCGAATCCTTGATTGCTTAAAAGCTCACCATGTTTCTCAAATCAGCACCGGGCTTTATCACACTGTGGCGGTCACGAACCGAGGACGAATCTTTGGATTCGGAGATAATGAAAGGGCGCAGCTTGGTCATGACACTTTGAGAGGATGCCTTGAACCAAAAGAAATTTTCGTTCAAGAAATGGCTGATGATTTTGGTGTCCTTCAAGAAAGCGTGTAAACCCAGGATGCCATTACCATTTCAATTCTGTAGGTCAGTCTTACGTGTTTGTCCAAAGTGAACAGCATATTAATTTTTTTTCTATTCCATCAGAACAGAGTATCATAAATTATCAATGTAAAAGAAGGATAAATAACTGCTGTATTATTATTCTATAAAAAAATATTGTATTTCTGAATTAATATATAGTACGTGATAGTTTCTTTCATTTATACTTTGTGTTATTTGTTGTGGGTAGTAAATTTTCAAAAGGCCAAAAAAGACTGCATGTTTCCAATGTGCTGCTTAGAGACGCTGCTTTCCCTCTCCCTCTATTAATGACTGCTAACCATTGTGTACGTACAATAAAATTTTTACCATTTTTCCATGCTATAGCTTTTAGAATAATGCAAGGAATTCCAACCTTCAATTCCAATTAAAATATAGAAAAGGTACATTTATCAATGAGATGACAATGTCGCAACTGGAATTTATATAAAAAAAAAAAGGATAAAAGTTGGTGATTTTGACGCTACTCAAGCTTTTAATATTAGACAATTTTCTTGAGAGACAGAGAGCTTTTAAGGCAAGTTTCTACAACTTTTAACTATAAATTTTGCATCGCATTTGAACAGCCATTTTTGTCAAATCATAAACTGATTTGCAAATTTAAGCAGACAGAAAGAAAATAGGGAAATGGTTTCAAAGGTCTAAGATTGAAACCTACCAATATGTCATGAAAATGACAATTTGATTATTTAACCATCATTTTCCTTTCCTGCCATTAAGGAGAACCTATTTTCTTCCTTGGTTTTTTGGCGATTAGGAACACAAGCCTTTCAATTGACAACTATCATGCAGAAGTTGGCCTGAAAAGAAAGGCTTGTAGAGATCCCTCTAGGACAACCTGCAGGTAAAATTAGAGATGCAAGAACGGACTGGCCCGGCCCGTTGTCCTTAGGCCCATGCGGGCCACGGGCCGGGCCGGCTCATCCAACGAATTTTGTGGGCCAGTTCGGCCCGGCCCGTATAAGAATGATCTCGGCCCAGCTCACACCACGGGCCAATTTTACGTGGGCTAGGCTGGGCCGTGCCGTGGGCCAAGATGGGCCGTGCTGCGGGCCAGGATAGGCCGTGCCATGGGCCTTGAATAGACTGGCCCACTCAAGGCCCATCTTGACCCATCATGGGTTTAGATGGGCCAGCTCATCTAAGCATGCAATTTTTAATTTTTTAATTTTTATTTTAATTTTTTAATTTTTAAACAAGTTAACAAATATATAAGTTTGAATAGTCAATAGAAATATGAAAAAGGATATTTTTTTTACGATTATCTCATTAAACAAAAACCTTTCTAAGGAAAACCTAATGGGAAAAACCTTAGTAAGGAAAAAAAGTACAATCAGGATAATTATACATAAAATGTTTACAAAATTACTAAAAAAAAGAAAAAAAACATAAAGATATTATGGGTCTAGATGGGCTGGGCTGGGCCCATTATGGGCCTAGATGGGCTGGGCTGAGCCGGCTCATCATGGGCCTAGACGGGCCGGCCCAGCCCGGCCCAAGCCCGGTATGACCTATGATTTTTTATGAGTCGTGCCGGGCCGGCCCATAGGCTGATATATGTTGGCCCAATCTAGCCACCAATATTTATGGGTTAGGTTGTACCTTGAACAGTGACAGGCTGTACCGGCCCGGCCCGTCACTGTATCAGGATGGGCTTGGGCCGGCCCATGCCCCGACATTGTTGCATCTCTAGGTAAAATGATAAACAGCCACTTTTTATTTTTATTTTTTTAAATTAGTCATTAATCAGGTGAACTTTTGGTCGGTTCATGCATGTGCAATTTTTCACATGAGAAATCATTAGAGTGATTGTAAAGAAAGATATAAATCCCAATTGTTGTTTTTGGCTTTCCGACAACTAAAGGTTATTGTCAAGAGATTCCTGAATAATTAGGCAAGAAGTCGCAAAATGGAAGCATTCATCAGGTGAGTTTCCTCGTAAGAGAAACTGCAAGAAAAGCATTTACATATTTGCTAAAAATACAACAGTTTCCCACCATTTAAGGACCACAAACAAAATAAAATTTTAAAAGAATAAAAACCTGAATCCTTTTATGGTCTTTCTTAATAGCACTTCTTTTTTGCGTTCTTATTTGGAAACTGAATTTAACCCTGATAGAAAATTGGTGACTTGATTTTGGACAAAGCACATGTTACTTTTCCTTGATCTAAAGTATAAACTTGCTGCAGAATAGGCTTCTCTTCTGCTTGTTTTTATTATTTCCTTTTGCAACGCACTGTTTTACAACCCAATAAGTATTCAAACCAATCGCATTAATTTTATTAAATTAAACTATCAAAACTTGTCAGATTTTTTTTTTTAGGTGTAATCAATCGATATTTGGTATAACTACTGGGAAGTTTTTAATTTGAACACAGAAGACGTCATTAATTGTGTTCTTCTACTTTACTATTTTGACCCAAAAAAAAAAAAATATTAGTGCTTTTTAAATTTATTACAAGGTCTGAGCTGACATGTAATGTTTAGCTTGTGTAAAATCAAAACGAAGGGATGTACATTTTTTTTTTACAAGAAAATGAATGGATGTATGTACATTGCTTATCGATAGTAGATACTGCAAATTATGGTACACTACAAACTACAAAGCACCACATTACACAATAAGAATATTATTTGAACAAATTCTTATGTTTTATGTGTGTACCTATTGACAGTATACATAAACATATATCTAGTCCTAAAAAGAAAAAAAAAAAGAATGTATTGAGATACATACACGTATACGATTGAGGTTTCTAGAAGATATCTAAGGTATGAGTTGTCATGAAGAAACTCAATACCAATGGAAGTATGGAACTAAAAACTCGTGGCTGTTCTATGGGATTTTTTTGTTTTGTTTCGTTTTGTTTTTTTGGTTTCATTTTCTCAATTTATTTGTTTCTTACCGGGAAAGAAAATTCATAACTTTATAGGCATGAGTATTACATAACCACCTCAACAGAATCATCAAACTCAAAGACCAAAACTCAACACCTCTTCTCTTAAAATAAACAAAGGAAAGACCCTTTATCAAAAAAGAAAAAAAAAACTTTATAAAAAAAAAAAAAACAAAGGAGAGACAATCTTGCCTGTGCCGATTTTTCTGCTCAGATTCCGAAATAACAAAGAACACGAGACGCAAAATTCAAGTAAGTCCCGCAAAAAAAAGACGTAGAAACAATAGAAACAGAGTACCCTAGAAAACACTGAAAAATTAAAAATTAAAATAAATTAAAATAAATTAAAAAAGTCTCTCCTATTCACATCACTTTCTTTTCTAATTTCTAAGGCATGGTATATTCCCGGAAAACCTTCAAAATCGCAGAAAATGTGACGATTCCGACCAAGCAAGAGTCGTCGTCGACCACCCAAACGTAGTTGACGCGGTGGGCGATCGCCTGGATCATCACCGCCACCAGCGAGCTCTTCGGATGGCAAACGATCGCCTCCGCTCTCCTCGCCATCCTCGCCGAGTAGCTCGCTGATCGGCTATACCTCCCGGCCGATCTCGCCAATGTCGTCGTCGGCGACGCAAGACTCGATTCCTCATCCGACGACGACGACGAAGATTGGCTCGACAAAACGATGAAATCGTCAACAATCCCTTCCAGATTTCTTTCCTTCAACCTCCGATTTACAACCCTGACCAGATCCTCCGGCGGACCGCTGCCGTCAATGTAGGCCATGAGATCGCCGGCGGAGAGAGTCGCGATAGCCGCCGCTGCGGTCTCATCGCAGGAGGCGAGGGTAAGCGGCGAGATCTCGCCGATAAGGACTCCGTCGCCGTCAACGACGGCGACGGAGGTCTGGTCAGCTAAGGATCGGGAGATGAGGCCGAGAGCGGCGATCGCCGGCGAGTGGTAGTCGGTGGAGAGGACGCCGTCGGTGGTTATGATCCCGAGGGAGTCGATCGAGAGGGCGGGGATCGGAGAGAAAAGGCCGATCGAGCTGAGGAGGAATCGGACCACGTCTTCTTGGGTAAGCCAGCAGAATTCTCTTCCGTTGTGAAGTGTCGTCGTCGCTGTTGAGATTTTCGGTTGCTGTTGTTGTTTTCTTCTTGAGCTTATGCTATGTCTTCTCTTGATCGGTACCACTAGGTTTTGAGCTCCTTGGAGGATCAGATCAATGGCTTCCAATAAGCTGAAGAAAAAAATACCACAAATCAGTTCTGAAAAACAGAGTATTTTGTTCTATTTTGAAGGAAATGACATAAAAAGAAATGTTGGTAGCCAAAACTCCGGAACTTTTACATGAAAAGGAGAATTTCTTTAATTATTGTGATAGTTTTGAAAAGAAAATTGTACATTTCAAGGGAATTGGATAGTGAATAAAAATCTCTGAGAAACATCTTAACTTTTACTGAAATATAGCAAAACAGAGTATATGGGCGTTTTATTTTTATTTTGTTTTGGATTGTTAAATTTTGCTAAGAATTTTCTCTATATTGGAGAGAATGAAATCCCAGAACCTTCTAAATGAAAAGAGAGCTACATTTTTTAGGATTTTTATTTTCTTTGAGCAATAATATGAATGAAAACTAATTCATAGTCTCAAAGGATAAAGTGACGTTAAAGATCTCTGAAACTTCTTTTAACTTTTAACTGAAAATCAAGCAAAACCCATGTGTAGAATCTCATTGAGAAGCGTTAAAATCCAAAAGTTGGCACTAAAAATCAGTGTACCTAGAAGATGGTTCTAAATGAGTCACGAGGGTTGGAATCTTAGGCAAGAGATCAGAGACAGGTGTGTTCAAGGCAGTAGAAGGGGACAAAAGGTTGTCATCCCTGCAGAGAAAGCATATCACATCAACCATGCACACCTTGCCAACGCACCGGCAGTGCCACTCACCGGCGGCGGCGGATTCCGGCGAGTGGCGGTGGTGGTGGCAATCCCATACGCTGAGAAAAGGGTCGTCGGAGGTCTTGAGAGCGGCCAAGGCGTCGGCGACGGTGGCGGAGATCGGGAGGGACGTCAGCGCCGGCTTGGCGAGGCAGAGGTCGGATATGTCATGTGCCAACAAGCTCACTGCCATGCAAATGAAGAGAAGAGAAAAGAGAGATTGTGAATTGGAGTGAGAAAGTATTATTGTGTTGAGAGAAGAAGAAGAAGAAGAAGAAGAAGAGGAGGAGAAGAAGTGGTGATACTTGGTAGTGACAATTAGGCTTTTGTAGGACTTGTGTTATTTATAAGAGGGAGGAACGTTACATGAGAGAAATGAGACACTTGTATGGGAAGTTTGGGGGTACGGCATGAGGTACCAAATGTTGTGGCGGTCCACTTTTTTTTTTTTAAAGTGTTTTTCTTATTATTATTATTATTTTCTTTTTTGTTTTTTCTTTGCATTACAGATCATTGAGTTGTAGGAATTGTGTTCCACTTTTCACTGGATAAAGATTTGGGGTTTAATCTTGTTTGGTAGGTATTATTAAAAAAAAAAAATTTATTGTTTGGTAGGTAAGATATTGGGACTTTGAAACCAAATGCTGTCGTTTTGGTGGAAAGCTCAAGAGCTTAAGAAATAGTAATGAGTAGTAATGACCTATTAGTAGGGCGTTTCGTGAGAAGACTTTTGAAACTATTACTTAAATGACATGTTTATTTATCAGGATTGAAGAATGAGAGTAGAGAGTGGGAGTCAATCTCATGTTTATTTGTTCTTTTTTATCCTGAAATGAGAGTGAGATTAGTATGTCTCACTCAAATTTGGGATTGAAGAATGGGATTGACACTCCCATACCCCCCCCTTGGGATTAAGACTTTCATTCTTAATATTAATATTAATTTATTATTATACCCTTATTTTACTTATAAATACACAATTAAAAATAAAATTCAAAAAATAATAAATGCAACATATATTTATTATTTTATTTGCCTAATATTATAATATTAGCATAATTATGGTTAACTTTAATATAATAAATATGTACTTTATTTTTAATAAATTAATAATATATTTTATTTTTTAACACTATTTTTTATTTTTATTTATTTTATTTAAAATTTATTTTTATATTTTAAATAGTTGTACAATTTATATTTATTATTTTAGTACCCAATTATTACACAAAATATTTTAATTATGATTAATTTTAATATAATAAGTACACTATATTTTTTAAATTAAAAATATCAAATTGATTTAAAAGGTATATTAGTACTTTTACACTTTTTCATTCTAATTCTGTGTGTAAGTAAACGTATGAATGAGATTTGGAATGACTCTGATTCCGAATCCTATCACTAAGTAAACAGCTTATTTTGACTCTGATTCCTCACTCTAAATCCTACCCACTCCGAATCCTGCCCACTCCGATTCATGCTCATTCTGATTACGTGTAGATAAACATACCAAAAATGTTCCTGATCGGTTTTACATTACTTAAAAGAATGTGAAAGTGAATTTCAAATACCAAAGTCTAGCATCCTTAAATGTGTTAGCGGTAAGATATAGGGGTAAATCTTCACATTTATGACCTTTAAAGAATATTACTCAATACTCAAATTTTTGACCATAGAGTTTATTACGGTTGGGTCACCCACTTTGTGGTTATGCAAGTACTGTTATAGATTATGAACTTTCATCAAAACAAATTATTATATGCATTTTGAACATGTATGCAAATCATTTATGTGTGTCAGTATTGATCTTTGACTAATCAACATATCCGTATGTCAATCATAAACTAAGATGCCAACTATTGTGGTTCCACTCTTTTTCTACTTCAATTTACAAAATTTGCAATTTTTTTTTTTTGGCTGAATTTACAAAATTTGCAATTAAAATAATGATTAGTACAATTATCTTTACTTCCAAAATATATTCTTTTAACCTGTTCTGGAGTGTGTAATGGCCAATAATATTTTTGTTTCTTCAATTCTAAAGCCTCTTGCATTGTATTATTATCAGGAATTCTGCTCTGCCCTTTACACGACCACATTTTTAACTCTATCTTAATTCCTTATTTACACTGTCTATAAGGGTTAGTTGTGGTACTGTAGAAAAATGCACTATTCTATATTTATAGAAGAAATGTTGGTAATTTAGTAACTTAATTAAAAGTGGTGCTATTCACAACATGTGATGACACCTATTGAGCTGCTATTACAGTACTTTGGTCAAATTTTTTCAAATGCCGGTTTTATTTTTTGGTTCACTTGATTTAAAATATTTGGGAAGACCAATTAATATAAGAAGAGGTGTAAATTTTTTCCAAGACCTGCCTGCCTTATTGTACAATATTTTCAATTTGATTTAATTCGAATCAAGAGGACAGGTCTAAAGCAAGTTGAAAATTTTCCCCCGTTTTTTCAGAAAATTGCAACTTCTGAAATTGGCTTGTTTAAGGTACAATAATAATACCAAGCTTCCTAATTAAGTATCTGATTTTATAGGGGAAAACTTAATTAGTTCCATACTAATCAATCATTTTATACAATGTAGATATGGATTGTTACTTTTTTAAAGAAGATGTGGATTGCATGTTTGTGAAATAATGTTCTTAGCTTTCCATAATCTCTTACATCTTCAACTTAACGAGTTTTTTTTTTATATATTTTTTTATGATGCATATATACTGAAGATATAACATAAAATGACATGATAAAAAAAAAAAAAAAAAGCTTTACAATCATAAATAAAGCTAGAATTTTTTTTTTTTTTATATAAGATTGTAGCGTTGTCTATTTCTAAATAGGTTAGGTGGTTTTATTTGGATCGTAGTAATGGTGATTACTAAATAGAGATACTAATGGATTTAGAATATATTGAACCACAGTGACAATAGAATTATAATTCTCATGCAATTTTGTAATAATATTTAAATTCTATTACTAGGGACCATGTAATGGATTTAGTTTAATCTTGGTGATTAGTAGACTCACACCCATTTATTATGTCTTTTAATATTTCAATGAGTGAAATCAATTTCATTAAAGGACTTGTTGCTAGTATAGGAACCTTATGATATTTGCTCACAAATATAATAAAAACAACAAAATATATAATTCAGCAATCTAATACAATGCTTTATTTCTTATAATGTTATAAAAAGAAATGCATAAATATGTATTATAATACTTTTATCCTAACAAAGTAATCATCGAAAGGGGAATTATTGACACTCATATTTATCTATTTACTTTAATGAGCAATCTCATTATCTTTCCTATATCAATTATTTTTTCTATTTCATTCTTTTACGGTTTGATAAATAGTAAACACGCCCTAATGCAGAAAACGAACATCAATTTACAAGTGATCTTGTTACGGATGAAGAAAGAGAAAAATACCATGCTTCAATACTCTCCATTTTCACACTTCTTTTTTCTCTGCAAAATCCATACAAACACACACAATATCCTAAAACGCTCACCCATGCTTCTTATTAAGATCAAAAGAGATTGAAACTTGGTGTCCCATGGATGAAACAAAAATTCTATAAAGTGAATTGAATGATAAGAGTAGTTGAATGAAGGTAATGGATTTTCCATGGGTCTGGTTTTGGTTTTTGGTTCTTATTTTAGCTTTAAAGTTATTTAAAAAAAAAAAATTTGTTAAGTGTGTAAGATACTGCATTTAATGGAGATAACCTTGATATATCTAATGGTGACCATTTCTAAATAATTAAACAAAATCTACACATCTAATAAATTGAATATTATACCAAGTATACCATAACAAACTTTTCCCTAAAAAAATAAACCTATACCATAACACAAAAGATTGTCATATTCTACTAAAAAAAAAATTGTCATATTACGTGGTATCCCAAATTTGATAAGAAGGCGGCATTTAATCATCCTTGAATTTGTAGTTTTTTTTAGAGGGTCTTGTAGTTTTTATTTTGATGAGTTTGGAATTTGATTGATTGTCATTTTTTAGTTTCATAGGCTTAAAAAACTTCCAATTAATTGATTATGGACTATCAGTTCCATACGACCTGTAAAAGCATAAACAAAAAGAGCAAGAGAATTTATCAAAGGCTCTGTTTTTCCAAACTTGTATATATTAAATCTAACTACTTTCTACTCTAGAAGAAATTATAAAATTCCACGCATATTTTTTCTCCTGGAAAAAAGGGTCAAATAGCACAAATTAAGAGAAAGAATTTATGATCGTATGCGAATTTCTTTTCCATTACCGAGTGTAATTAAAGCATCCTATTCTTTGTCATATTTCCTCATCCTTCTTCTTGTTTTACTTATTTATTTATTGTGAGGTTTTATTTGTTGATCGAGTTCAGTGGTCGAGGTCTTTAAGTCATGCGCATTAGCCTACTGGGGACCGGCTTTTGTAAAGCACCTATGGGCGGAGCTTTGCTTTCAGACTCTTGAACCTCGTCAACTCGATAGCTTCACTCCTCGCTTTTCTTCAATTATAAATAACCACTTTAATGGAGATTTGTAGCATCATTCTTCCAATCCCGTCTTGCGATGGTGCTCCTTTAGTAGGTCTGATAAGCCTTTATAGAGTCCGAAAAAATGAAATATTAATAGTTATCTACTTTTTATATTAAAAACTGTATGTTTTATATATTTTTTTTAATTTAACGTGATTTTAACTAAATTTAACGATAAAAAATTATACAGCTGATAAGGAGATCTATAAAAAAAAAAAAAAGTATATTATTTATTTATTTAATATTATTTTTACTAAAGAGGTTAAAGAGCTTTGACATTTTTCCATGAGGGTTAGTGGTAACGTCAATTTCAATTTATGCGCGTCCGAGACCAATGTACAAACGGACGGTGGGGATCAAATCTGCAAGCAAAATCAGCAATCAAAGTTGATTAAAACGACAGCGCCAAAATTGCATGATTTTACTTTTTACCGGCGTTTCAATTAATCGCCCGTGAATATCATAATTGTCTTATAAATAGAAACTGATGGAAAAAATTAGGATATTAATGCCCACTAAATTTAATTAAAGGATAAAGTGCACAAATGGGGACCATATTCTTAAAGTCCAAACTTAATTGTAATATTGCGGTTAAAAGTTAAATCCTTTACTCATGCGGATAATAATTATTATTATCTGATATGCTTGATGGAGGTTGAACGTGTTTCATGCGTTTGCTATTAAAAAAAAAACAGCATTGACTTGTGAGTTGTGACTAAAAGCTAATCAATTAAAGTAATAAGCAAATAGTTGCGTTCATATCTATATC